CATTTTTATTATTATTAGACATTTTTTTATTCGACATTTTACTATATGTATTACAATAAATAATGGAAAATTGTTAAGTTATTTATATATAAATTTATTATATCCCGTATTAATTAAATACGTTATCTGAGTGGTATATCGAAGTTAGGAGTACAGCTTAACTATGTTTAACAGCAACTGTTCAAGCTATTACTATGTATAAACGCAATCAACGTACTCGGGAACTTGTTTCTAAACCGTTACCAGTTATTTTGAATAATGGCTGTGAGCAGACTGTAAACGAACTTATTTAGGTACATAAAGATCGTGAAAGGCCATTGATAATTTTACTAATTTTTAATTGAATATTTCGTATAATCGAATGGTAATTCAGTAAAAATAATTATTAGTAAAATTTCAGGCTTGAAATTATATACTATAACCCAGTTAAACAGTTCAATACTTCATTCAATCCATTAACAGTTCAGTCAGAATAAATATTAACAGATTTAGATTTACAATTATGTTCCGTAAACAAATCAACTCATTTGCACTGTTTGGGAAAGTAGAAAATTGGTCCATGTTACTAAAAATTTCACGTATATATGAACTTATGATGTGAACGGGTTAAATAATTTAGTATGTTGTTCAATTCATTAACAACTCAGTCTGATTTAATTAATATCCATGGTAGTTGTTAATGAATTTAGGCTTGCACTTACAGTTTTTACAGTAGAATTTTAGAAATTTGTGTGAGTCTAGTAAACGCTAAAAAATTATCACTAGAGGGAAAGAAGAATGCAAGGTAAAGAGTAAACTGAAGCCTGGTAGAGTGGCTAGAGCCGGTACGGTGTAGGAGTCATGAGTTTAATATGCAAGATTCCATGTTTGCTTGCTTCCCATGATGCTCTTGAAAGTCTCCTACTTAGCCAGAAATCCTCAATCCAGGCCTGCTTCATCATCTGGCGAAATGAGTCTGGCGAACGTTTGTCACAGCCAGCCAGCAGCACAAAAAAAAGAACGCCGTCAGTTTCACTTTTCGAGTTCCGCAAACAGGAACCTGGGGAACGTATAAAATAATAACCGGACCACGAACGTTTATTTACGTGCATTCATGATGAATATTAGTGGGTAAAAGAACTACTGTAGTAAATGTAGATATGAAAATTGTTGTTTTTAATTTCGAAGTTGCGAAATATTAAGATCGCTCGAAATGATGAAATAAACATCACTAATTCCTGATTTGTACTTACTAAAATTCAATCGTCAATCGAGATTTAAGTTGACTAATTAACAATCAAAATTCAATCCTTCAATTGAGAATTCTTCTCATTAAAAATTGAAATGTAATTTTGAACTCAATATAACTAATTAAGAACTGGAATTGAATCCTTCGATTGAGATTTTTTCAAATTAAGAACAGACAAATTTTTAACTCATTTTATCTTAAATTTAACTTTAAAAACTTAAATTTGACTTAATCCAAATTTCTTCCAGTTAAAAATTAAATTCTAATTGTTAATTCTTAATTAGACAAGTCTCAACTAAAGATCGAATTTAAATTCAGTTAATTACTCCCGTCTCTAGTTTTCAAGCCGAAGAGAAGCTTTTCGTTTGACGATTAGAAAATCAGTCCCGCAGTCGATTCCACGAGGGGCTTTATTTTTATTCGGTCGGAACCCGGGAAGAAGTGGCGCGGCACCGCGCGTTTGAAATGAAATTAATCAGTGCTCGATCCAGAAACAGCCGGGAAGAGAACGCCTGGGATATACTCGAGACCGTGGAAAAGCATCGAAAGCACTCCGCAAAAGTTCTTACGTAAAGAGGCTTCAGCCTAGCAACCTCGCGTTTACCTTGCCCGCGCTTCCTCCGCTTTTTTTCCCTCTTTTTCGCGAGTCTGGCGTGTACGCGTTGCGAACGTGGTTGGTTTTCTGAAAAAAGAGTACAAAGAGGGAAGGAAGAGGAGCTTTGTCGCGCTTTTAGGGGCTCATAACGTAAGGCTTGTTTGTTTTCTGAAAGGACTATAGTTTGCTGGTGTTTTTTACGTGAAATACGGATCAAGGACAATTCTTATTAGGGTTTCCCAAATGGATATGTAGAATAAACAGACTTCTTCAAATCCTGGTAATGAAAAATTCTAATCTGAAACTAGGTCATTTCAAGGAAGGCTAATTTTTCATTAAAATTATTATATGAAAGTCGTTTCTACTTTTCTATTTGATTTTATTACAATTCATAATGTGCGATTTGTTATACATATATAAGAGACTGCAAATTTTTGTGCAAAATATATTTTGTAGGAATTTACAAAAAAAATACGCTGACCTTGAAATAGCGGAGAACGTGACCTTGACAAGAAATCCTCTCTATCACAGTAACTGTCACACTGAAACAAACATTTTGCTTCTTTACACATTTTTCATATAATTAAAATATTGACGGCGACGGTCTTAGGCGATTCATCCGGTATATTCGATTCCCCGTTTACACAATTGTACTCAATCAGTGAATTATCGAACTCAATCAATTATTCCTTGGCTTTTATTAATCTTCTTTGTTTCATATCGATTTATCCTCACACTTTCATAGATTCAACCTCTAATCTCTTTCATCTTCGCTTTTCATTTTCCAACGCACTTCGTCTCTCTCTCAAAGGGAATTTCTTCTCAATCATCTCGTCTTCCACCATTGAGACGGTTCGATTGCCTAAAGAGAATCATTCTTATCACAAAGTGTTCAGAGAAAAGAATACCTTCTTCTGATTAAATCCAGGAATTCTTTCTTTATTTTCCCTTTAATTCTACCGTTAAATATAGGAAATACTGAATCTATATTTCCTTCAATTAGAAACATGAAGTACGAATCATTCTTAAACTATATATATTGAATCTCGTTTTGTTAATTTTAAAATTAGATACGCGGTGTGAGAAACTGATGCGACTAATTGGACTCAGATTCAATGTGACGATCAATTGTACGGTATCTTCCGCGTTGCATGTGGTATTAAACATACAGCAGCGCGAAAGGGGTGAAACTCAAAGGGGTTCGAATTCTTTCCTTGAAGTTCCGCGCGGCAGGCAGGGAATATAGGTTATCGGGTACGTAAGGCGATAGGAGGAGGGTGAGCTGCGTTGGAGGTCGAAGTCAAACTGTAGAGAGCGGATCTACTGTTGAAAGATAGAGACAGAAAGCAAGAGAGAGGAAGAGGGAGAAAGAGAGAAAGAGATTGCAGGAAAAAGGGTGTGGGTGGGAT